CCTGTCGGTACCAGAGTATCGGATCCACTTCGGCCTGCCGGCCACACTCAGCACCTGCCTTGGCCTCAGAGCCCTCCTTGCCTTGGTGGCTGGTTTCACTCAGTTTTGCTTTAAGTCCCTCTGGGGCCTGGCTGGGGAATTTTGAGGAGTCGTCTAACTTGGGGATGATCACCGATTTAGCAGGGTCAGCCCCTGGCTCCCTGGCCTTGCTGGGTCCCGACTTGACCAGGTCCGTCAGGCTGGGGGCCTTGGTGAGAGTTGGTGGGACTGGTGGCTTTTGCTTCCACTCTTCCTTGAGTGCTGCCTCCCGCTCCTTCAGATTCATCTCTGCCTTCTTGTCCAGGCCCCGCTGCTGCTCCAAGCTCTGCCGTTTCTGCTGCTCCTCATACTGCTGCCGGTACGCCGTGTTTGTGCTCAGGAGGTGAGTGTGGTAACTCTGGTCGCTGTAGCCATAGGGGGGCACATAGGCATACTGGTTGTAATAGAGAGACTGCATGTACATGTTGGGGCGCTGCTGGATGACGGAGGGCTGCTGACTGGGCGTGCTCAGCTCTGCTCGCTTCTCCTCGCAGACGTCGTTCTTCCCTTTCCCCTCTGCGCTCTCGGGTTCCTCCTCCTTCTTAGTCTTTAGGGCCGGGCTCTCCACTCCTGCTTGGCTGCCGGGGTTCAGAGCTCCTGGGCTGGACTGGGCATAGCTCGGCGAGTAGTAACTCTCAAGGCCTTGGTAATACGGTGAGTCTTTGTTCTGAGGCTGAGGGGGGAAAAGACTTTTCTTCGCCCCTTCCTTCACCAACTATTCAGGGTCCTTCGACTTGACACTGTCCACCTTACCCTCCCCATCCTCCCCAGCAACAGAGATGTCGGAGTATGCAGGGCTGTTGGTTTTGACTGAGCTGGCTTCAGCTCCATTCTGGGTTACTACATGTAAGGGGGTCATGGGCTGGGTAGGGGGGGGTGCTATCAAGGCGGCTACCGCCTCCAATGGAAGGGCTGGGAGCATTATCTGTGAAGCTGTAGATCTTGTCCGCTTCAGCCTTGATACTGGCCAATCGGCTCTGGTGGGGGTCTGAGGAGCCATTTAGCAGCCCCTCCATTTTCAGCCCATCTCCTGATGATTCTCTGAAGGGGCTCTTGCCTTCTTCTGATCGACAAACCTTCCCAGGGGTCAGAGGACTTTCAAGTTCCTTTGAAGATTCCTTCTTTTTTTTGTCTTTCTTTTTCTTATCCTTGGTTGGCGTCAAGGCAGGGTTGACTGTAAAGGGCTCTCCCATCACGGTGGGCTTGGGCTGAATAGGTTTGAGTTGGGGGCTGTTGGGCATGGCTTGGACCACCGTGGTGGTCAGGCCTGAGGAGGAGCTTGGGCTTGCTGCTGTGAAGGTGGCTGTCTGGAAAGTATAGATTTGCTGTGGGGGGATGGCAGGGGCAATGGGCCGGGCTGACTTTAAGCTCTTGGAAGGAATCTTTTCAGCTTTCAAATTAGAGGTATTTTTACATTTTTCTTTTTCCATACACTTCCTTTCCAAAGAGTCAAAGGCGTCACTGCTTGTTTCATCCACTGCTGAGCGTCCATCATCGGAGCCATCATTGGACAGAGCCCCGAGGTCTGGGTCCCCTTCCCCACTCAACTTTTTCTTACAGAGACCTTTTGTGCTGAATTTGCTTGAAGGAGAAGGGCTATGGGGCTCTATGAGCCTGACTTTGGGAGTAGCTGAGCGGGCAGGGGACAAGGAACCTTTTTGTGAAACAGATACACCATTGCAACTCCCAAGTTCAGTATGGAGGGAGGGCTCCTCTCCATACTCGCTGTCCCCGTCTGCTTCTGGCTTGCTGTCATCATCTGTATGGGCATGAGCCTGGTGGTACTTCAGTCCATTGATGTGCTTGTACTTCTTGTTGCAGTTTGGGTGAGGGCAATCAATCAGAACGGGGGACGCACAATTTCTGTCCAGGACAGTGGGTTCTACCTTGGTCCCAGGGAGGGAACCTGTGGCTGAGCCCATGGAATTTGTACGAACATGCTTGCTCCCTTTGGAGTCCTCTGAGCTAGAATTCAGCTACATATCTGAAAGGGGTTTGTTTTTCCACTTGTTAGCTGAGGACGGGCTAGCCTTGACATCCTCTGAGGTGCTGCTGGCAGGTGGGCGATGCTCTGAAGAATTCTGGCTGCCCCGACAGCCTTTACTATTAGCTCCTGCCCGGGTTTTGCTGCTGCTGCTGGCCCCTTTACTGTCAAAGGCTGTAGCTGTGTCATTGACAGGTGTGCTACTGTTGGGACACATTCGCTTGCCTCTACCTCGACCATTACGCATTTCCAAGTCACTGGTGGGGGAGTCACAGAACCTTGGGGGTGCCCAGTCATGCCGGGTACAGTCAAGCAGCGTACCTACATATGTCTTGTTCCTCCATGTTACATTCACCACCAACATCCCATCTTCTGTTTCCTGCCACACAATGCCTTCGAGGTTGACGCTGGTTCCAGGCTCACAGGGGCCCAGGCATTCGGGTTCTGTAGCTAGAGCCACATCACATGTGTTGACCCCAACGGATCGGGTACGAACCATGATCTGCTCACAGGGGGATGAGATGTCATTACTGACTACTGGCACCAAGAGGTGCAGAGGCAGCACTGCTGGTGTGGAGACAGGGGACTCCATCTTTTCACACTTGACTTTCTTTAGTGGTCGGCATTCATTCTCCCCTTCCTCTGGCTCCGGTTTAGCTCCCAATGGGTTGAGCGCTGCCCCAGGTTCAATAGCTATACTCCCAAGTGGCTCCACAGCTCCTGGATCTACCCCTGCATTTCCATCATACTGAGCACATCGTCCTCCCAAAGGAACTGGCTGAAGGACCCCAGGATCCTTTTCTGAACAAGTCCCCACCGCTTCACTTCTTTCCTTCTTGCTCTTGGATGAGCTGTTCTCCTTCTCCTTTTTGGAGCTGGCTACACTGCGTGATGTCTTAACTGTCTTCTCTGAGCCCTTGGGAACAATGGCAGCAACCAGGCTCCCTGCATTGGCACCATCTCCTGAGCGTCCCTGTACCTCTTTCTTGCTAGCTGCCCCTTCACTTGGCGTGAACAGGGAAGTTCCTGAGCTGGGTTTGCTAGCATCTTTGCCACTCTTACTCCTTTTGGATTTGGATTTGCCTTCCTTCCCTTGAGGACCTGGCACTGGAGTCACAAACTTGATGTTGTCGGGAAGTGTGGCCACAGCATTGGGAGCCGGTATCCCCACCTCCTTTGAGGCTGACATTTCCAGTTTCTGTTGGTCCTTTTCCAGATCGGCGTCCAGATCAATGATGAGATTCCCTACTCCAATGTCCCATTCATCCCCACTGTCGTATGTCTCAACCGGGTTTGCATCCACTCCTTTCCCTCCGGAGGCTCCACTGCTCAAGGACATCTTAGAGTCAATGGCCCACCTCAAGATTCCAGGCTCTTCCTTGCCCCCAGCTTTTCCTAGATTCAGCTTCAGCTACGTTCTCAGACCTGCCACAATGGTCAGTACATGCCCAGTGGACAGCATCATTGTGCGCGGCCGGTCGGGGAGCCGCCACCTCCGCCCGCCCGGGGCCCCAGGCCGTAGAGCCGCTGCAGGTACGGGGCCCAGGCCGCCATCCGTTCCGCGGCCCCTCCCACCAGCCCCCAAGATTATTTGTATTGATAAACTGTTTTCTAATTTTTCTCAGGCAAATAATTTAATATTTTAGAGAGGAATTATAAATATGACTAAAGGGAAGACTTTTTCAATGACAGGCTACTAATAACTTTGCTGAATTCGTAGCAAATAAGCAACTTATTCTGTCTGCTTACAATACTACACTACTTATAATACTATATAGTAACTAACACTGTGGCTGTAACTATAGGCTCAAGCACAGGAACAATTGCTGAGGATGGCACAGGACTGGCGGTGTTTCATTCTGTTGTGCATACAGTCATTATAGGTTAGAACAAACTTGATGGCACCTGGCAACAATCACAACAGTTGAGCCATCTCCCTCTTCACCTTATACACGATTAAGTCAAAATGCACGGTGGACAGGGAGCTGCCAGAGCTTCACGGTAGATTCAGATTTGGAACAAGGAATATCATTGCTGATGTCAGATGAATTGTGACTCAAAGGAAAGACGTTTATTTGTGTTTGATTGACTATACCAAGGAATTAGATTATGTGGCTCATAACAAACGATCGATAACCTTGAGAAGACTGGAAATTCCAGAATACTTCATTGTATGTATGTGGAACTTGTACATGGATGAAGGGGAAGTTCTATGAACAAAGCAAAGGAACACTACAGGGCTTAACATCAGGAGGGGTGTGTGTCAGGGTTGTATTCTTTCACCAGAGTTGTCCAATCTGTATGTCGAGCAAATCATCAGAGAAGCTGGCTGAGATGAAGAAGAAGGTGGCCTTGAAGGAAGGAAGGCTTATTAACATGTGCTGAGAGAATGACATAACCTTGCTTGCTGAAAGTGAGGAAGACTAGAAGCGCTTGCTGGCGAAGATCAAAGATTGCAAACTTCAGTAGGGATTACATTTTATGTTGTTATTGTTGTGTACTATTTTTACTCTTTTTTGTTGTTTTTGTGTGTTTTCTGGTGTATGAAATCCAGGATAAGTGAAACTATAGAGACAGTTATGGGATTTATTGTACGTTGGGGCTAGCGATGGGTACAAGGAGGATGGGTACAAGGGTACTAGTGATGGGTACAAGAAGAGTACAAGGAAATGTTCTAAAATCAATTGTAGTAATGATAGTAATGATTGTACAACTCTTTTTGATGTGACTGAGCTATTGCATTATATGTTATTTTGGTTATGTCCCAATAAAGCTGTTTAGGTTTTTTAAAAGTATGGATTACAACTTACTATAAAGAATATCAAGATCTTCACATGGACCAATGTGCAACAGAATGATAAATGGAGGAACAATTGAAGTGTCAAGGATTTCATCTTGCTTGGATCCATGGTCAATACTCATAGAAGCAGTGGTCAAGATATCATAGGATGGGTGCTATAGGTAAATCAGTTGCATAAGACCTCTTTGGAATACTTAAAAGCCATGGTATCACTTTGAAAACTAAGGTGGGCCTGACCGGATGCATAGTATTTTAGTATCATCATGTGCTTGTGAAAGTTGAACATCTAATAACAAAGACTGAAGAATTGTTGCATTTGAATCATGATGTTGGAAAATAATATTGAAAGTAGCTTCTACTACTAAAAAGACAAACCAAACTGTCTTGGAAGAAGCAAACCAGAGTGCTTTTTACAGGTAAGGATGGCAAGACTACTTTGGGAATGTTGGTGAGAGACCAGTTTCTGAGAAGACATGCTTGGTAAAGTGGAGAGACAACAAACAAGAGGAAAGCGCTCAAGAAGGTGGACTGACACAGTGCTGCAACCATTGGCTCAGGCGTAGGAACAATTGTGAGGCTCACCCAGGGTCAGGCCGTGTTCCCTTCTGTTCTGCATAGCAGTGCACTGGCTCAAAACGGACTCGATGGCACCACAACATTACAGTTCCAACTCCTACATACACTGGTTTACCACAGACACATCGATTTAATCACGTTTCTGCAATCAGAGATTTACAGACAATTTTATAAGAAATCTATTGTTTTAAAAGGTTCCCGTGGTATTGTAGTGATACTTTTTGACTTACCATCGGAGAGAAATTCAACCACCATAGACTGTGGCATATTTGGTAATTCATATTAAGCACATTTATAGGTTGATAATGATTTTATATACAGCCACGAGACGCTTAAGAACTTTTTAGGCAATATCCAGCCATGTATAAAATATGCGCATGGACCAATAATGTATTTGTTTTTGTTGTTTTGCTTTAAAGGGAAAAAAAAGTCTCCCTTTTTATGTATAGTTTCCCAGAATGAATTAACACTTGGCTTCAAGCTTATATCCCAATCCCGTAGTACCTTTTCCTTCCTTCCCTCCTGGCTTAATCCCTCTGCCCAGTAGCATGCACTCTTTGACTCCAAGGGCAGGGCAACACCTACCTGTGGCAGTGGCACTGTGGGCTAAGCCTAATTAGCCCACATCCTAATTAGCACCTGCTTCTGGACAATTGTGGCTATTGATTTGATCAGAAAGCTATGACACCAACAGAGTGGCACCAGCCAGGCTGCCACCTATTGGTACTCTCCCAATACCTGCATGCCTGCTGTGTGCTACCACCTCACCAGGCTACCCCTCCTGTGTGTGCTGCTCTCACTCCAACATCTATCCCACTGCCCTGCCCTGCAACCAGATGTATGTATGTTCTAACCTGGCTTTGGTTCCGTTGCCCCTGGTTCATGTAAAACTTAATATCTAGGTTTTATGAGGATTTACAAGGAATTCATGTATATAGTGTAGTGTTCAGACAAAGTCAAATATGAGCTCCCATTTTTCACCAAACATAATGTGCACATGAAGCAACACACATCTCTATTTAGTGATCTCTAATGAGCTCTGGTGGCATTATGGGTTAGGTTCCAAACTGCTAACCTCAAGGTTAGTCACTCTGTGGGAGAAGGTGAAGGCTATAAGTTCTCTAAGAATCTAGAGCTTCAGAAACCATATATAAGACCTCTATGAGTCAGAATCAGCTCAATAATAGAGGAGTCTATTTGTTTGTTTGGAATTCTACCTTTGGATCCTGTCCATATTACTTTTGTAATGTAGGTGTAGAAATTGATGCTTAAGAATAGCAAGGAACCTGTTCAAAGCCATACCACTATGAAGTGTTGAAAACATAGATGTTCAGCTTCTGAACAATAGTTTTAAACTATTGGTTGTTTTCAGTAAGTGTGTGTCTATAAAGCACTAGTGCAAATTCATCAAGGCTGGATTTGATCCTGCATTCTGAGATTCTTCTTTCTTATACTAGGTGAAGTAAAGGTCCCTTTGCTATCAAGTCAGTTCCAACTCACATTGACCCTGTATGGAGACTCTGAAACTGTCAAAGTTTATGGAAGCAGATAAGATCACTTTTCTTTCCACAAGCACCTGTGGGTTTGGATCACTAACCTTAGAGTTAGGAGTTCGATGCTTACCAGACAGAATCACTAGGGTCCCACTGTGATCCTAAAAGGCAGTAGCAGACTGCCATATCATTCTCCCTCAAAGTAGCCTCGGGTTTCATATGGTTGACTTTTCAGGGAATAGAGCAGAATACCTGATGTCACTCAGACCTGAACTTGAATTCGAGCCCCACACTCTAATGAGACTTTGGACAAGGTACAGAACCTCTCTATGTTTCAATTCCCTCAGCGGAAAAAGAAGTGTAATCATGATTTACACATCCCAGTGTTATTACCTGGGTTAAATAAGATATTGCACTACTAGAGTGCCTACTACAGATTAAATATGCTCACTGTTATTTATTTGATTCTAAGAGTTGGCATGACAAGTTAAAAGGGCCCAGAAGGAAAGCATTGAGGACGATCTTCTTATTGCAAGTCTGGGGTCACATGAAATAGCTCTCTGAAAAGATTCCTCACAGAGGCCTGAGAAACGTGTTATTTAGGACTTGAGGGCTCCTCTCCTCTGCCTACCGTTATCACCTTGATTCATGCTCTTGTGCTTGTTTGTTTTCCTTTCCTGCCGTTTCTGCATTTCTCATGTTTGATGCATCTCACGCTGCCAATGCACTTCACTGCTCTGCCTTGTACATCAGGGAAGGGTTATTTATAATAACTGCTCATTTTTGCTTTGATACATATGAAGTCAAAAGTGCACACGTGTGTCAGCATACTGATCCATATATTCTGAACAAAGAAGGAATTTCAGTAAATTTAAGATTCTTCCATGCTTTGCCTCCCTAATTTAGGCAAATGGTAGACAGAATCTCCTATAAATATCCAGATGCTAGTTTCAACACACTGTAGCATTTTGACTTTCCAGATGTAGATTAAGAGCATCATAATAAATATTTCTTTTCTCCAAGGAGAAAGTCTGATTATTACTTTATTTATTTCTCTGATAAGGGCTAATCTGAAAATAAAAGAACCAAACCCCCCTGCCATCAAGTTCATTCGGACTCACAACGAGAGAGCAGAATGACTCCTAAGAGTTTCCTAGGCTGTAAACTTTTACAGGAGCAGTCAGCCTCTGCTTATTTGTGTGGAGCACCTGGAGAGTTTGAATTGCTGGCTGTGTGTTTAGAAACTTGTTGCTTATCCCAGTAGTAAACCTGAACTTGCTATGTTATTGTTTTCAGGTGCTATTGAGTAAAGTAGGTTCTGACTCATAAAGATCCTGAATACAACAGAACAAATCACCCTCCAGTGCTGTGCCATCCTCACAATTATTATGTTTGAGTCTGTTAATGCAGTCGCGGTGTAAACTCATCTCGCTGAGGAACTTCCTCTCTTTTGCTGCCCCTTTACTTTACCAACATGATGTCCTTCTCCACGGGCTACCTCCTGACAACATGGCCAAAGTATAAGAGATGAAATTTCACCATTCTCCCTTCTAAGGAGCATCCTGGCTGTACTTCTTCCAAGACACATTTGTTTCTTTCTTTTGACAGTCCA